AGCACGTTAAACATGTGTGCACCTGTTCGTTTGATAAGTTGCATCAAACGATACGTTATCACCAAAAGATCCATAGTTCCTTCTAGTGATTGGATCGGCCCAAAATAGTCTTTTCAAACCGTTATTCTCATCAAGATCATACTGGAAATACAACGCGGTACTGATTTCCTGAAGTTTATAAAACTTCTCAATCACTAATTGGGCATCTCTTCCTGATATGTATGCAAGGAGTTCCCGTTTAAAGTTCTTGAAGTCCATGCTTGTTGCCCCAATGTTCGAATATCCTCCAACAACTTTCTTGTACATTCGGTGGGAACGGACTGGCCCTATATTAGCTTTTATGCAATTTAGTACAAACGTCTGATGTCCAGCACTCATTGACCTGTTGATTTTCAGTTATGACCTGCAGTTGTCTGATGTCATTGGGTGGCTGTGTTTTTCCTCGAACAATTTAACAATATATCCATTCAGACCATCAACACGCAACCCAATACGCGCAGTACAACCTACCCGGTTGGACACTCTAAGCCTCATTACACGACCCTCGTCACGTGTTGTTGTATCAATTACAGCATGATGCTTGTAACCTTCCCCTGAGCACACCATGTATTTCCAAAGAATTGTCTTGTCTATAGCTTTAAACAAGGTGCTGTTTCTCACATCGAACCCAATGTTGGGAGCATATCTCTTGTAGAAGTCGACAGCTTCGATTAATTCCCGAAACCGCTGTCCCTTGTAAGGTTTGATTGATCCTTCACATTGTGGTATCCAATATTTAGTTCCCCCGGGCGTGAATACCAATTGGTGATGTGCATCTGTTCTTTGCGAGTCTTGAAAGTTTGCGATAAAATCAAAATACAAGAAAAAAAAATATATTAGTAGACTGCACATTTATGACCACACAGCTGCACATAACTACTTCGACAGTTTCACCATACCTGATTGTGATTCACTTATTTCCTTTAGCACTGCAGCTCGGCCAATTCTTGTATCAGACACCTAAAAAGTAAAAAAAAAAAATAGCAGGAATCAGGGGAATTAATTCTTTATCATATATTAAAATACAAGAATTCTGAAATTATATCATCTAGGTATTTACCCAACAATTACTGTTCAAATATCGTTAACAAATTGAATAAATATCCCAATTTTTGAACGATTATACGATTTATGTTTGTTGTTTTATATGTCTAACCTGGAGTTTGAGGTCATCGATCTCGGAGCACGGCGCCTCAATCGGATTTTTTTTGGATCTACCAAGATAGCTCGCTACAATATAGTTCGGGAAAAAAACTCTTGAGATTGACAAAGAAATCAGATCGTGAATGCCCGAATTTCAATCGGTAAGCTCGAACAAAATAATTATGGCGGAAATCGTATATTCTTGAGCTAGGGGTTGGCGATTATTTTTTTCCCCAAGCTGCGGGTTTCATAGCTTTGAGCCCAAGAATGTTTAATTGCAGTGTATTGAGATGATGTGTTTAATTACCAGCGTGCCCTTAGAGGTAATTGTCGTATTGATTGCCCAACTGCGCCCAAACTGCTTGATATCCGTCCGATAATATTGATCTTATGTACCATATATATTCTCATTTCTTTCGTTAAGACCCTTTCTCACCGGAGCGTGACCCTATATATATATATATATATATATATA